GCTGTATTGTTGTTTTATTCTTTACTGATTCATGATTATGCTTTAATTGTTTTGTGTATTATTTGGATAATAGCAACGATTTCTACCGCCACCAAGGAGGTTATGTATTCACCAATGTCACTGTCTGGGTGTCTATTCCAGTTTGTTTTTATATCTAGTATCTTTTGTTGAGAATAAATAAAATACGCGACAACTTGGTAACGAAAGTTTGGCACAAGTTTTTTTAGATCCAGCTGTAGGGGGCGTCCCATTTTTCGTATTCCCACCATGCATTTCGGTGGAACACGGTGGAACACTTTTTTTGTGTGGAGAACTCTATCTTGTATTTCTCACAATGTAAGTTATCAAATGTCTGGGTCATCATTAAGTGGTAGCGACCATGTTGATGTCTGAAACCGAAGCATAAATGACGTCATCTTCGGTATTTATCGGTATTCCAAGGTCAAATTTAAGACACCGTGGCAAGGGGTCACCAGTCATCAGTTATCGATAATGCAACACAATTCCGGTTTTATATTGATTTTCATACTTCCATATATCATCGTGCGACGATGTACATCTTAAGTACCATCAATTTTTTTTTCTTTATACAAATAAGTTCATTTTTAAACAGATGCCTATTATCATCTCGGGGAGGCAGAAAAGTAGATACTCCAATAATCCTGTTTCCTTTGCAGAGAGCACGAATTTTATTATATGGGTTCCCCATGGACCTTTATTTATGATTTATTTAGTTATGATTAAATCATCATCTTGTTCTTGATTGCGAATTCTATGGTGGATGTGCTTTAGCTATAAATGCACAGTTTTGTAGTGTGTACCATATTTGCATGTGTCGTGCGAGTCAAGGAAAGTGATTGCTGGTATTTGACTGTTTAGGCCAAATAAAATTTATTGTTAGTTTCAGGTCCGGGATTTGAAATTATTTTTGCTGAGGGTATTTACTATTTGCTTTTTACTATACTAATGGTAAACATGCTGGTACGGTAAATAATAAAAATAGTTTTTTTGAAAAATAGCAAATATTTTTTTTTCATGAGGCGGCTCCAAAATTAAGATGAGGATGGGGACGTGAAACTAGCAGTTATTTTTATTTGGCCTTATAATAATTTAATCCCAGTTCCTACTATTGAATTGATGGCGTACACGACATTTCACTTCTTTAGTGACTTAAAACGTTCTAAGTAATCCATATTCATTTATTTATTTGATCTTTTATTCATTGTTCAGTCATTTTTGTTTTTTAGGTAATTCATTCATTTATTTTTGCTGAGGGTATTTACCATTTGCTTTTTATTATACTAATGGTAAACATGCTGGTACGGTAAATAATAAACATAGTTTTTTTGAAAAATAGCAAATTTTTTTTTCATGAGGCAGCTCCAAAATTAGGATGAGGATGGGGACGTGAAACTAGCAGTTATTTTTATTTGGCCTTATAATAGTTTAATCCCAGTTTCAAATACGGAATTGATGGCGTACACGACATTTCACTTCCTTTGTGACTTAAAACGTTATAAATAATCCATTCATTTATTTATTTGATCTTTTATTCATTGTTCAGTAATTCTTGTTTTTTGGTAATTCATTCATTCATTTATTTATTTAATCTTTCATCATTCATTCATTTTTTTATTCATTCATTCATTCATTCATTTTAATTCATTCATTCATTCATTCATTCATTCATTCATTCATTCATTCATTCATCCATCCATCCATCCATCCATTAATTTTCTATTCATTTTTGGCCCCTTGGGAGTTACGAGTCTTCAAAAAATAACCCCGGTTTATTTCCAAGCAATATTGAATGAGTACTTACACCTCTGGTATGAAAAATTGCCCACTTTACGTTACACGGGGACTGGCAATACCATAACAGATCATCAATCAAATAGTAATAGTTAACAAAGTCAAGTTCGTGTAGGGTACTGTTTATCCAGGGCTAAAATCACTAGCTCAAGTGTCCGACCTCATAGTATTTTTGTAGTACTGATGTGAAATAAATAAATTCGAAATGAGAAAACACATTCTAAAATGACGCCTGATAACACAGTTAATTAGCTTGACGCTCTTACTCAGGACATTTTTTGTTTACTTGTTATCTTGTATCGTGATACCATAGAGCTCTGATTAGTTCTATGCTGATACAAAGCTTAAACAGTATAGCGCCATCTAGAATAAGGTTCCGGGGAATTCCCAAGTTATTTTCTCTCTGTTCAGTCGGACCCCAGCACTTTAGTACTCCATTTTACGATTCAAGGCTGGGGTAAGGTACAGTGCGTAGGCCCTTTTCTTGTTTAAATTAAGTGTTTTAGTCGGCATAATGCAAAAATGTTGTATGGTAATCAAGTTTGTTATTGAAAGAGGTTCTTCTGAATGGTTTCATAAGCCAATTTTGGCTGCTGACGAAACAACACAGAGGCGTAGCCGCGCAAGCATATTTATAGGCCCTATGTTCATATATAGAACTCAGATCGACAACTATGATTTTATTAGGCCAACTCAGCGCGGCCATTTTCTGTGATGCTTATGCTATTAGTGATACGACCTTATTAAGTTATTTACTCACCTCTTGCTCTTGTGTGAACCAAGCCAATGGGATTATTATAATTTACACATGCTGGATACTTCCTGTGCTTTTATAAATACTAAAAAATAGACGGAAATGCATTAGAGCTAAGTTCATTGCCTTTTCTTTATTTCATTGGCATTAGGCCTACAGAGGGGACACGATGGTGTGATTGTTTTCGGTTCCCCCTCTTATGATCCAGCATCCGAGTCCTCACCTTTTGATCACAGAAATTATAAAGGTCGTCATTTAGTAAAGGGAACCCCCCCCCCCCCACTTTTGTTGATTTTTTAAAGGTTTCATAATTTCACAACCAAGAAGGGCGCATCTGTTTCGAAATTCTTGGGGTTGGGGAGTGGGGAGAGATCAACCGTGATTCCACACCCGAATATGAGAGAAATAGCACTTCTAGATGGCCGGAGATGACACTCTTTTTATAGGCCATAGTAGAATTCATTATCATATCTAAAAAATGAAGCTCCAACAGATTCCCCATGATCTTTATCAGAAACATTTAACACTTGTTTCATTGGCATCATAACATTATACAGATATCTAAGTTAGAGACTATCTAATTAAAGACAACCTCCAATTAAAGACCACTTTTTTTTGTGGTCCCGACCGAATAAATTCAAATCAAATCATGCCTTTTGTTCAAATTAGACCAAAG